GCGGATGGATGACGACACATCATTCCCATCCCGAAGGGCCCTGTAAAAGGCTAACATGAGTGGGCGGGTAGCATCATCAAAGACCGGCCAAAGAGATGAAACCACACAAGGGACCCGCGACATATAGAAAGACCGGGTGTAGCTGAGCACACCCTCTGGTGTCAGAYGGCCGAGTGAGGAATTACAGCTGCTAAGAACCACCAAAAGAGTATTCATATCATAATTGAACAACTTCAGCATCTCTTCCGCCGACRATCCCCCWTGATCATAGCRACTCTTTTCACCTTCAAATTCAAAACAGTTACTGCTAACAYGCTCTAGAAACATCTCTTCAGCGGACGATTCTTTGGAGTCGTACRTGATATCACCTGTTGCATTGTCTTGACCATCGTCTTGCAGACGGCGATCCGCGGTAGTCTTAGGCTTGCCTGTGGGTGGAGGAATGACTGAGGTACCACAAACAGGATCATGAGGGAGAGTCTGCAGAGATGTTGGTGTGTTGTCTCTATTATCGGTATAAGATTCCACTGCACTATGRTTGACGCTTGTMAGGACGGATCGCGACGGATGGACGTTGAGGCCTGCTGTAACCTCTGTAATGTTCTCTTCAGCGGTCGGCAGAGAGCCTTCACTGCTGTCGCATTTGATGCCACTAATGAAGGGCAGAAGGGGGTTGGGAGGGGGTGAAGATAGTGGCCGGGACGAGGGGTTAAGAGGGGGTGCATCCGATTGAGAGCATAGATCAGCAAGGACCAGCAAACCCATGTCTGCAGTGTCTATGTCCCTTTTTATCTCTGCTCTGGACCCCACTAGCAAATGTGTGGCGAAATGGGCAAYGGGAGCACCGCGCTTGAGTCTCTGCAYTACTTGTGGTTTGGTGGCATCTGTTCCAATGAGAAGAGTTGCAGTCCCAGGTGCCAAAAGATCGTAGATCTCCCTGGCCTCCTCTCGTGCCGCAGGCAGTGGGTCCATGCCATATGCAGCAGGAAAAGGATCACCAAGAACAACAGACTTCCATGATGACCCTTGTTCACCCATGCCATGGTTCTCTTTGACATCKTCAGGGCACATCTTCTTCAAGAGATTTTCACTTCCCTCGCGCAAGATGGGAAGAAGATGAGCCGCCGGGACTACACCAATTGTGTGCCGCTCAATCAGGTAATATGGCTTGTTCGATGATCCTCGTCGCTTTCCATCTCTGAGAATAGCAAAAGGCACATTCCAAAGAATACCATGTGGTACGAAAACCAGCTTGTCATCTTGGGTGACRTCCGCGAGGACTTCTTCTACTGGCGCAATGAGCAGTTTGTATAGTTTCTCGAGGATGGCTTTGGAGGTTCTTCTATGTTGTGACTTCTTGCCTAGCCTATCTCTTGCTGCAGGTGCAGACAAAGTAGGAGGTGTTGTTGAAGAAGTGACTGGCGACTTCTTCGAGTTCGGACAACCGASCCCAGCCCGATTGTTCATCGACGTATTGTTCTTATTGTTGCCTCGAAGATCATGTGCCARCTCCAAGTTGGAACAAACTCCAGTACTAGTAGGTCCCATCTCCAATGTGTCTGAATTCATTACCTCCATCAGCTTYTTCACATGAACCTCAACACCTTTTGATGGTTTGTACATCCTTGCCACGCTCATCAGATTCCAATTCCTTACAGTCAGAACATAGATCATAAGTATCTCATCCCGGGAATCGGTCCCCGGGGAGAAATGGTACTCTATCATTGTGGTTGTGGGTCCACATGCCTCACAACCTATCTGAATCATCCGCAAGGCTGCCTCCATGTCAGAGTCGAACTGCTCAAAAGGTATCTCAGATTCTTTGCCATCGTCATCGTCTCCTGCAGAAGATCGCCTGCTTGTCACCGTATCATTGCTGTTTCCCGACCCCCGAGCCATTTGCTTGCGGGACATGAGTACCGATGAGGCAAGCCTGTGATGCGACCACTCGCTCCAGACAAGCGCTCCGGAGGCATCATCTCGATTGTGGCAATCGATCTGCGCATCCCGGAATCCGTCTACTTCTACCCCTCCGTACATCGAGAGCCACACCTCAGGCAGAGTCCCACCCACTCCAAGTGACCGCTGCTTGCTCTTGAACAAAGTGAGACCCTCAACTCTCACTTGCGCAGCTTGCTGATAATTACCAAGCGTATTGTAAAGACATGAAGTCAGTTGGAAAAAGCGATACCGGCCAGAGGTCACTGCAAGAACCTCCGCATTCTCTAATGCCCTTCCACTTTCTTCCTTCTCAACAAGAATCCAAGTTCGCAGGCACAGAATATGTGTCTTGATGCGATTGCAAGTTGCAGAGGTGTCCATTGTCTTCATTTCCTCAAGCCTTTCCTCTGCCTTGTCCAGAAGTTCTCCAGGGTCTTCCGTTCCGGCGACGACAAGCCCTTCTTGCATAACACAGAGACTCAAGTGAGCCCTCTGGAGCAGCCACCATGCTTCTGTAAAAGGGCTTAGCATTTCTAACTCCTTGTACACTTCTCCAATCTCCACATACAACCGGACACTGCTGTTGTAGTCTTCATGCTGTGCGCAAAGCATCGCAAGCCCGTCCTTACACTTGGCCCACAATGGCCCAATCGCCTCTAGTGGGTAGTACGCCAATGGATTACCAAACCGTTGGAGGATGAAGCTGTGCAATCTGATCGCATCTTTCCAGTGCATCCTCGACGAGTCAACTTGCTTAAGCGTGAACAAATCCTGGCCAAGTTGGCACACGACCCGCAACTCCCTCATCTGTGCTTCAAGGCATGCCTCATTAGCCATCGCGACTTCCTTTGCTAACCTCAAATGTACACCCTCGTAGCTGATTATGTGATCGCTATCTTCATACGGCGTCCTGAGCTCTCCTACAATGTCCATAAGATCAAACACCTCTAAACTCCATTTTTTGTAACCCCGTCTAAGGCAGAAGGCGACCACATTGGCTAGTAGGTCCATGCATTCCTTGGTCGTCCAGTCACCTGTAGCTGTATCAAAAGCAGCCTTGTTTGCAAGATCTTGATACCCCAGGTAAGCCTCCTCAACAAGACCCAGACTCTTAGCCTCTACAATTCTTTGCTTTGTCGCCGTGATTGCCAATAACACGTTGTAGGCGTCATCCTTCTCTGCGTCTGAATAAGTTAGTACGTGATGAGCACATGTGAACTCCATGGATTTACAGAAGTTGGCCTCACTACCTAATGGTAGTAGGTTACCAGATGGCAATGACATTGTGGGGTCCAACTGCACAGCGAGAGTGTCAGCAACCGACGGCTCCTGCAATGGCAGCAGTCCGTCCGGGAGCCAGTCTGACCGGAGTCTTTTCCAAATTTTGCGCGCCACATGCAGAGGCATTTCAGATTGGTCATCTAGCTCCCGAAGGTCCTCGTCATCGTCCGCAATGTTATGAATGGCATGGGCAAGGATGAACTGAAGCTCAAAGAGTGCTATAGCTCGAAAGGCAAGACAGTACTGTGCATCTTGTCGAGCAATGTCATCTTCAGTCACATCCAGTAGTGTCCGCAACGCACTCCTCCTGTTGCCACATATCTTGAAAGGGTTACGGCACCTCTCGACAAGCATGCACACAAAGGCCGTCTCTAGCTCATTGAATGAAGCAGATGCGCGCAGAATCTGTTCCATCGCTACAACAGTCGGGATGACGACTCTCTCTTCCCAGGGCTTCGGGTAAAACACGCCTCGCCATAGCTCGACAAGAAAGAACGCGACGGAATGGGGTCTATCTGTTCCACGTCTCCAAGTCCGAAAGGCGATCTCCACAAGTTCCGCTGCAGAGGGAATTCCACTCTCCCCTTCCCTGAGCCGAGACCTGACCTCCCTGATGACCTGCATGAAATCCAACGCTTCTTTTGGAAAGTCTAACCCTCCTTCAGGCCTGTGGTCCTGCTCGGCATGCTTGGAGAGTGCACGATCCTCCGAACGGTGTCCAACTTGGTGATCGATACTGGGAACGTCATTTCGAGATGCATGGTGTTGTTCAGGGGACACGTGGCAGCATCTGCAGCGGTCACTGCAAAGGCAGCAATCCTTGTCCTGCAGCATGTCATTGATGTAATCGTCTACCATTACTCCCAAAGGCAGAATCTTGAGGAAAGACACCTTCAGAATCGCCTAGCAAGCAACACAACTGTTACACCATAACCAGCAGCAGCCTGTCAGTTTGCAAGCAGCTGGTCCCCCCAGTCTCAAACAAACAATCAAAACAAAATGCTTGTCAGTCCGCATGCATTTATCACCTATCATCGGCTGATACTCAAGTAAGACAATAGTCAGAGAACAGAGAGACTGACCTGCTCAGTGCAGTCAACGAGTCGACGCACCCCAACTGGTATTCAAAGTACAGTGTACACCAAGCACACACACACACACTGTTGCAGAGAGCCTGACTGGGAAGTGGCCGCAGTGCGGTCAACAAACTCAAATTGAATGTGTGATAGCTGATATGCCAACATTGCCAAGTACAACACACACCAAGCACATCCACAGACTGTGCTGTCCATTCTTGCACTTACTCATGAGGAGGCCCAACCCTCCCTCAGGCTCCCTGGAAAGTCTGCAGAATCCCTGTAACAGCCTGTATTGTTGTTTTGAGTTCTGACCCTTCTTTAACCCTTCTTTAACTCTTCTTTAACCCTTCCTTAACCTTTCTTTAACCCTCCTTCAACCATTCTTTAACCGTTCTTTAACCGTTCTTTAACCGTTCTTTAACCCTTCTTCAACCCTTCTTTAACCCTTCTTTAACCCATGTTACTGACCGGATGGCCT